TACATATACGCGCGAAATATATGTAACAAAAGTTTCTGTAGAAAAAAAATCTCAAGCTTACACGATCGTAACCGCAACCTCGATGCCACCAGGCGGCGCCACGATTAATATCTATACCGCACAACAGATGGCGCTGCTAACGACCGAGATATTTATCTATACACCCGCGCGCGTGTTACAGGGTATCTATGGTAACGAAGCACGGTGTATAAACATACATGATACATACATACACACGGATTTACACACGCACGAACAAATTCAGGCAAACGACTCGGACGCGACCCCCAGGTTAGACGGCGCCACCTGCTGGACGGGAATGCTTTCGGTCGCCGCGGATACGGCAAAAAACAAATCGGGCGGAAGCGAGCGGCCGCTGCCGCCGCGCCAACACTTTATTGCTAGACGTTGTCCCTGCAGATACTTCAGCCACTGCACATAACAACACACGAGGGAAACGCGCACGCCGCGCGAGACTTAACACGTAACAATGCGTTGCCGTCGGCACGGAAACGAGCACCGCGCGACAACAACGGAACGTTCGGACGGGGGCGGCGGTCGCCGTCGCCGTCATTGTATGCATTTGGACGGTATTCGTGTGAAAGGCACGGCCTGACGAATTAACGACCATCTGAGAGCACCTGTGAGTGGCCCCTCTTAATAAAATTCACGTGAGAGATGGTCCCCTTAATAAAACTCATGTGTAAGATGGCCCCTCTTAATAAAACTCACGTGTGAGATGGTCCCTCTTAATAAAATAAACGTATGAGATGGTCCCTTTAATAAAATTCGTGTGTGCAATAGTTGGTCCCCTAATAAAAACTAATTTACGAGCGAGATGGCCCCCTTTAATAAAATTGACGCATGACATGGTCCCCTAATAAAATTTACATGCAAGATAACCCCCAAAAAAACGAAACACGGGCGTGGCCGTAAGAAATACCCGCCCTCTGGAATGCTAAAGGAGGGAAAAATCAGTGCAGTGTATGTAAATATAATCGACGAAGAAAAAACCTGTCCATCGATGGCACGAATTCGGCGCGATTTCTCGTTACTGCGTTTGCGCAGCTTCCTTCGTTAAGCCGGACACCGATCGCTCCTGTACGTGCCACCCAACACACGCCAGAATACTGGCTGGCATCCGCCACCCCACCTACAACGCCCCCTACCTCTCACCTACATGCACCACGCGCGGCGGGCCACCACCGCCACACGCATACATACGTACATACCACGTGTTTCTCCCGTCAAGGTAGGGTCATACCCTGCGTACCGGAAAAGCAGGGGTTTCATCTCCTAAACCTTGTCCTTTTCAGTTACTCACACACTCTCTGGTGCAGTACTTGGGGCACATATTTCGGGTAATTCGCGCGCCCGCGTGATTGGACGGACGTCGTAGCCGGGGGGCGTGCCTGCAGGCTACCGGCTCGCCGTGGTTGGTCGTGTCGACGCGGTGGCTTCCCCCCCCCCCGAGTCACCGCGCGCTAGCACTGTCCGCCGTTGCAGTCGTCAGGGTTCACGCGACGCGGGCGCGAGGCGTGATCTGACGCGTTCCAACACGTCCGGAAATTTTCCGGAGATACTCGCTTCGTCTCGGATTCCGATCGCCTCCGTGTCGGATTCAGACCCTTCTTCATTGTCTCGGATTCGTACTCATCCTCTTCCTCTGTTTCGGATCCTGATCTCCTGATTCCAACCTTCTCCTCCGTCTCAGATCACAACCTCCTCCACCCTGGATTTCGACTTCCTCTGACCTCAGATCTCGTTGACCTCTGACCTCAGATCTCGATGACCCCTGACCTCAGATCTCGATGACCTCTGACCTCAGATCTCGACCTCAGTCTCGGACGACCCCGCGGCTTCCCGCATCGCCCCCGCGCCGTTGCCGACGGCGACCGCAGCGTTCTTCGGCTTGACGAGCGGCGAGACGGACGGCGATCGCGTTGCCAACGGCGACAGACACGGCTGGAAGCTGGGCGACATCGCCGCCGACGCCAACCCCTGCTCGTAGTCCACCGGCGCCCTCAGCTGTTCGCCGAACCTCGCCGCCGCCGCCGCCGCGCCGACCGCCATCTTGGTCGCGCGCGCGGGAGCAGCGGTTTTCGGCGCGCGTTTCGCCGCGGAGCCGCCGTTGTTGCCCTCGTCCTTGAGTCGGGCGATCTCGGCGAACACGTGCGCGAGGGGCTGGAACTGCGGCCCCCAGTTGAGCAGGTAGTCCCAGTTGTAGCTCCCCGTCAGCTCCTCCTCGCTGTGCACGATCGAGCTGAGCGAGCCGGGAACCGTGAAGTGTCCCGAGTCGTCGCTGGCGCCGAACGCGGCCGTCGACGCGGCCGGCGGCGCCCCCGCGGCGAACCCCGCCAGGCCGCCGCCGACAGCTGACGTCAGTTAAGCTGCAGGTGATCAATGTCGTCCACGCTGCTTGCCGCAGACACGCTCACCCTCTCGCTGTACGCCGCCCTGCCGCGGCGCCGCCGCCGCCGCCCGAACGCGGCGCCCCCACGTTCGATGCCGGAGTGCACGTACTCGGCGTGTTTCGCGCGGACGACTCGCGGCGCGGCCCGGCGAGTGGCGCGGGGTCAACCGCGCCAGTACGTCGTCCATGTCGGCGCCCGAGCCGCGCCGCTCGACTGCGGACGTGGCGTCCGCACATAGGGCGCCACTTCTCAGCTGGATTGAAGTCGGGCAGCGCGGAGGGAGGTAGCGGGCGGCGCCGCTCAATCGTCTGTCGATCGGCCCGCGGTGGGCCGCCACCGGCGGGCTTCTTGGCGACCGCGCGCCGCCGCGCGCACGAAAGGGCCGCCGCCGCCGCCGCCGCGGACGATTCAACACAGGAAGCCCGCAGACGCAGCCCGATGACAGCGGGTGACGCCGGCGCCCCTTGCGTCGCTGGCGCTGCGCAGGCTTACCGACGCAGCAGCCGCGCACGCAGAAGCTCGATGTGGATTCCTCGCCGACGCCTCCCGAACTTGACCCGGCGGACCCGTCGAGCGCGCACGAACAGGGTCACGACCCATCACGCACGTCCGCGCCGCGCCCCCGCCGCTCAACGCATGTGGTCGAACGCGGTTCGTCACCGGACGACGCCCGTCGGCCGCGGCGAACGGCGAAGTGATCGGCTGGGCGCCGCCGAGGAGTATCTGCGACTATCGCCGTCCTGCGACCTCGGTCGCGGTCTCGGGTGGCGGCGACGCGTCCCGACGTCGCCCGCCGCGCGCTTGTTGCGGGGACGTCGAACGATTACTGCGCGCGTGCAAAAAAAAAAAAAAAAAAAAGCCAAAAAAAAAACACTCGGGGTGTCGTCCACGCCGACCACGGTTGGACGACGACGGCGGCGGTGGCGCGGCCCCGTGCAGTCGCCTGCGTCTCGCGCGGACAGCTGAGCCGGAAGCTGCGGCGACGCTCCTTCGTAGCCGAGCGACGCGCCGTGACGACCGGCTCCGTCGCCGCGTCGACGAGCGAACGCAAGTCTGCGTCGTCGCCGGGACGGACGGCCTGTACGCGCACGCGGCCCGTACTCGCCCGCGTCGTCGTCGGTGGGTGCGCGTTGAAGACCCGCGACGCCCGCCGCAGCATCCTCCGCGACAAACTCCACGTAGTGCCGCGGGCGACGCTCGGGGCAAACTCGTTCTCGTCAGTCGCGGCCGGACCGGTTGACCACCGACGACGAGCGAACAGGCGCTGGTCCAGGCCGTCGTCGACGGCACCGCAGCACGGGAGTACGGAGGCGTCGCGCGTCTCGGGGTCGATGCGCGCGCCCGCGTCGTCACGGCGCGTCGCCCGTCGACGGCGAAAGCAGTCGTCGTCGTCAGCCGGCGACGACGTCGATCCTACTCTGCGAGTTGCGCCGCGTCAGGGCGTCGTGCGTCGCGACGACGACGACGAGCGTGCCGGCGGCGCCCCCTCGCGGACGGACGCGGCGTACTGTCGTCGCCACGCGAACGCCGTGCGCACAGCTTGTCGGTTGACGTCGCGACTTGGCACGGCGACTTGCGTGGCTTTTGGCGCGGCGGCGCGCGGTGGTGCCAACGACGGTTTGGGCGGTGAACGCTCGCGTCTCGCGCGTTCTAGCGGACGACGAAGCACGGGAGCGCCCCGCTGCTCGCGCCCGACGTAGAAGTGCACGGCGCGTCGTTGCCCCGACATGTAGTAATCGCATTGCTGTTCTCGTCTGATTGGTGCGTCCTCGGCCTTGAGACGCACGACCGTGTGACGACGGCGTGTCATCCGGACGGCGATCGCTGCGAGACAAGAATAAAGAAAAAAAAAAAAAAACAAAGAAAACCAAAAAAAACACCTTGCTGGGCGCGTGAGCGACGAATGGGGCGGGTGGGTAGAGGGGATGTTGACGAAGAATTCGAAATATTGCTGATGTAAATAACGGTATATAAAATATGGCTACAAAAGATTATGACAAAATTACATCAAACAATAGGCCCTACTTATCACACACGCCCAACCACACCCAACAACCCCGTACCCATATAACGTATCCCCTCTTATCTGTACTGCACCCCTCTCCCGCTCCCATCATTACTGGCCCAAACTTCCCCCTCCATCACACAACACCTATACCCTGCCCAACTTTCACCCCTCCATCACACACACCTATTACCACTACCCAACTCTCACCCCTCTGATCACACAACCTATACCCTGCCCAAACTCTTCCCCCTCCATCACACACACCTCATACCCTGCCCAAACTCTCACCCCTCCATACACACACCTATACCCTGCCAACTCGACCACTCATCACACTCACCTGTACTCGGAGCGTGCTGATTGGGGCGGTTGTTGTTGCGGTCGCGCACGCGCACGACCACCGCGCGCGCGACGCCGCCGCTCCTCCTCTCCGTCCGTCGCCGATGACGAAAGCAGCGCGGTCAGCCGCGGGACGCGCGCGCTCGTACCGACATCTCCGCAGGTCGTCGTCGACTCGCCGGCGCCGCGGCTCACGGCGAACCGCGCCGCCGCCACGGCCGGCGCCCCGTTACGAAGGCTCGGTAGGTCAGGCGCAGCCATTGGCGCCGTCAGTCGTCGTCGCTCGCTCGGCACCGCTTGCGCAGACCGGTGGTGCCGGCTGGTGTCAGTGATCATCCCTCGGACTGCGCGGAGACAGACACAGGGTTTGATTGATGATTTTAACGGATTCTATGTAACATAAAAGTGACAGGATTTTTATCACGATTAATGATTAATATTACATAGTTCTTATTTATTGTTTGCTTATATTTTAAGTGTATCATTCGGTTTGAAATTATTGCTCATTATTGCTGCTGCTGCTGGTGGTGGTGGTGGTGCTGCTGCTGCTTACTGCCTGCTGACTGCCTGCTGCTGCTGCTTGCGGCTGCGTGTTGCTGCTGCTAGCTGCTGCTGCTTGGCTAATACTGCTACTGCTATAGCTACTTACTAACTGCTGACTGCTTAACTGGCTACTGACTGCCTGCTACTGACTATACTAATGCTTGCTGGCTGCACTGTACTGCTTACTCTGCTGGCTGCTTCTTACCTCGTAGAAGGAGGAGGAGAACACGGGGGCGTTGTCGTTCACGTCGCCGACGACAACCGTCAACGTCGTCTCGACAGAGTTGGTCGCGTCCGATGCCTAACGAGAGAGAGAGGATGCGCAATAATTAACAATAATTAACAATAATCGGATCGAAATCCCTTGAGAGACGACACAAAAAACAAATTACACACATGAATCGGACGCAATATAAAGTTGTACGAGCATTACAAATCGAACACAATACACATTTATCTACATAAATTGAGTGAACACAACACAAACACACCGATCCGCCTGATGTGATAATGTAAGTATTTCCTTCTATATATATATATATATATATATAATGTATATTATACTATACATATATCTGTGTTACTTCATGCCCTCTCTCTTACCTCTATACTATATATAGATATACATATATATATGTTACACAATACATTATATATTATATCTATGTTACGTTAGACGCCCTCCCTACCTCTATGTTGATGGTGTACGTGTCCTGTGTCTCGCGATCTAGCGGCCGCGCGAGCGCTACGAGGCCCGTGTAGCGGTCGATAGTGAACGCCGCGTCCCCGCCGCCGCCGCCGCGCGCACGAGCGCGTACGTCAGGTTAGGATAGATGTCCACGTCGTTAGCCGTCGCCACGGCAACCGTCGTGCCGACCGGCGCGTCTGCAACGAGTCGTGACGATTAGCATTCTTGATTTCGGCATGCTTGAATAGTGGCGTGCTAACGAGGAGATCGTACGCGCTGGCTTAATTAGTGTTGGGCTAACGAAGAAATTGTTACGAAGAATGCACTCCCTCCCCCCCCTCATTCACCTTCCTCCCCCTCCCCCTCACACTCACCTCCTGTGATTGGCGCACCTCCCCTGCGGGGGGAAGGTCGGCGGTTGTCTATTTTATGATCGCACCCTACCTCCCCCTCCTTCTCCACCGTCACACTCCCTTCCTGCCTCACTCCCCGCTCACACTCACCCTCCTGTATGCGCACCTCCCCCTGCGGGGGGAAGGTTGGCTGGTTGTCCATTGCTATGAGCACCCTCCCTGCTCTCCCCTCCTCCTCCCCCTTCACACTCACCCTCCCTTCCTCCCTCCTCCTCACGGCACCCTCCTGCATCGCACCCTCCCCCTGCGGGGGACGTCGGCTGGTTGTCATTGTATGTGCACCTCCCTTCCTCCTCCTCCCTCTCCCCCTCACAAGGCTCAACCCTTCCTCCTCTCCCCCTCACCACTCACCCTCCGTATTCGACCTCCCCTCACCCCCATCACTCACGCCCTCCCTTTCTCCCTCACCCTCCCCCCTCACACTCCCACTCCTTGTATCTTTCGCACCCTCCCCTCGGGGGGAAGGTCGACTGGTTGTCATCTAGTATGTGCACCCTCCCCTCTCCCTCCCCTCCCTCTCCCCTCTCACAACTCACACCATTCCTCTCCTCCCCCTCACACTCACCCTCCTGTATGTGCACCTCCCCCTCCTCCCATCCTCCTCCTCACACTCACCCTCCTGTTTATTCGCACCCTCCCCTGCGGGGGGAAGGTCGGCTGGTTGTCGTTGCGGTCCAGCACCGTCCCTTCTCCCTCCTCCTTCCCCTCCCCCTCCCCCTCCCTCCTCCCCCCTCACACTCACCCTCCTGTATTCGCACCCTCCCCTGCGGCGGGAAGGTCGGCTGGTTGTCGTTGCGGTCCAGCACCGTCACGTAAAGCCGCGCGACGGCGCGGCCTCTAGGTGGCGCCACGTCGACGGCGGCGACGGCGAGCGAGTAGGACGGCCGGATCTCGCGGTCGAGCTGGATGCTCGTCGTCACGACGCCCGTCGCCGCGTCGACGCGGAACGCGCTGTCGTCGTTGCCGCCGACGATGTGGTAGGTCGTCGCCGCGTTGCGACCGTCGTCTGCGTCGTACGCGACCAGCTGTTGCCGCGGCAACGGAGCGAGAGATGCACGTGAGCGTGAGAATGGCGAAATGAAAAATATGGGAGGACGAAGGTAGCTAATTTAATTATACTCTCTAGTAATATTATCTATCTGATAGTATCTATATAATATTATCTAGTCTAGTTCGATTCATCAAAGCATGTGGGTCACTCAAAGAAAATTTCAGTTCCTTAAAGAGAGGGAGAGGGAGGGATAGAGAGAGACAGAGAGGGAGAGGGAGGGACAGAGAGAAACTGGCGTCTGTTTTATAGAGATGGCGTCACCATGTAACTGAACTGACAGCGAAACAACAAAAGTGGCCTTTATAAAAAGGTGTTCATTCTGCAGAGAACAATTCTGCAGGTTCGTTTACTGTATAACCTCTAAGTCTAACTGAGGAAAGCACCAAGCGTTCATCATCATAAACAGGAATCTATTAAACACAGACGGCTCCACTCATCGACCATCGCTGCAGCAAAAAACAAAAGAAGCATTCTCTGCAGACGCCGCGCCCGCCTCCTTGACATTGACCTTGACCCCCCCGGACGACTCACCTTGGCAACGAAGGTGCCCTTGAGGCTTCCCTCGTAGACGGACGCGCGGACGTGCTCGGCTACAAAGTACGGCGCGTTGTCGTTCTCGTCCTCTAGCGCCACCTGGACGTGTGCGTAGCTGACGCCAGCCGCGCCCGCGCTCGCCTCTACTACCAGGTGGCGCCGGGGTGTCAACTCGCGGTCCAGGCGCTGGGAGCTCCTCACGATAATGTGACCTGCGCATATGGGAGAGAGGGTTGTGACGTCGTTAGTGGCTCGTTAGCGCCAACGACACCGAAGGCTACACACGACGACTGTGCTTTCGACACCGTCTATTCGAAATGTTTGCTCGTTTTTACGCTGCATATTTACATGACGTTCGTATGTATGTATATTAATATATTATACCTTTAACTTTTATATATATATATATATATATACAGGCC